CTTCGGGCGGGGTGGGGGCTGTGATGGGTGCGGAGGAGGGGACGGCGGCAGTGCTGGGTCCCGGGAGCGGCGAGGGGGAGCGTCGGGGTCGCCGGAGACCGGGGCTGAGGGGACAGCGGTATCCCCGAGCAAAAGGGCAGGGGACCCGGCGGGGGACAGCGGTGTCCCCGAGCAAAAGGGCAGGGGACCCGGGCGGGGGTACAGCGGATTTAAGGTTCTGCTCTCTCCACAGCTCGAAGCCCAGCTGGGCCGACCAGGTGGAAGAGGAGGGTGGAGAGGACGGTGAGTGACTCCTGCAGCAGGCCGGTTCCCTCCCCCTTTTTCCTCTGTTGCTCCTCCTGCTGGTAACTGGAGCATTTATCTGGAGAAAAAGAATAGCTGCTGTTCTTAAAATCAGTCTAGAGATGTGCCTACTCTTTGTTCAAGGCTCTCAGGCTCTTGTCTGAGGCTGATCCTTACAAGCAGCATGTGCCTGACCTGGAACAGGGAGCAGGGATCCCTCTCACCATCCTTACTCCACCCATTTCAGGGGCTGAGGAAACCTGGGGGGTTGGAGCAGCTGAGATTTCTTGGTTCTTTGGCCTTTTCCTGTGCTCAAGGGAGGTAGCAGGCACCTTCTCCCTGCAGGGAGATACTGTGCCAGGGCTGTGAGGCTCCTTCCCCCTTTGCTGGGCTCGCTCTGAGCGAGGGGGCACCTTTCCCCCTTCTCTTCCTGCAGACAAATGCATCACCAGCGAGCTGCTGAAGGACATCCCCCTGCCAGGGGTGCTGGGGGGCAGCCTGAGCGCTGAGGCCGAGCTGCTGAAGGGAGGTGAGAGCCGTGTGAGAGGCTGGGGGGCTGTTTTCCGGCCACTTCCCTCAAGTCACACACCGTCCCACTGTCTTTCCTTCCCGCAGGCCCGCTCCCTTCCCCAAAGGAACTTATCAATGGGAACATCAAAACCATCACGGAGTATCGCGAGGAGGAGGATGGGCGCAAGGTGAAGGTGAGCAGTGCATCCCAGGCTGCCATTTTGGCTTCTTCCCACTGCCGAGCTCCCCTTTTTTCTTCCCAGAGCCCTCGGCTCTGCCCTGTTCTGTCGGGCAGCACCAAGCACCCATGGGCAGCAGGGACATCCCGTTAGAGCCCTGTTTGGACTCTGCTGCTTCAGACAGCCCCAAACTTGGCGCGTGTGGGCCAAAGGCATGTCTGCCATCCCTTCTCCTGCATCGATCGGTTCTTTTGCACCTCTACAGATCATCCGTACCTTCCGCATCGAAACCAGGAAGGCCTCCAAGGCGGTGGCCCGTCGGAAGGTGAGTGTATCGTGTGGGAATGGAGAGGGAGGGAAGGAAATATGCACTCCGGCAGGAACTGTGACATGTCCCAGCACTCCGCTTCTGTCCTTTCCTTCTCAGTCTCCCAAAGACCGCTCGGTGGGGACCATTTCCCTTCCTGTTGGCTGCTCCTGTTCTGTGTTCAGTGATTGCCTGGGGACGTGCTGTGTGAGTGGCCCTCCTTTTTCACCCCATTTTTTCTTCAGAACTGGAAGAAATTTGGCAACTCGGAGTTTGACGCCCCCGGACCGAACGTGGCCACCACCACCGTGAGCGACGACGTCTTCATGACCTTCATCACCAGCAAGGAGGTGGGTCAGGTGCGGTGGGAGCTTGTGGGCTGGTGGGGAGCCCCTGGTGAGGCCGTGCCTGGCTGCGCGGTGGATCCCACGGGACTCAGGAGTCTCCCTGTCCCCCAGGACCTGAACTGCCAGGAGGAGGAGGATCCCATGAACAAACTGAAGGGGCAGAAGATCGTCTCGTGCCGTATCTGCAAAGGCGACCACTGGACCACCCGCTGTCCCTACAAGGACACCCTGGGGCCGATGCAGAAGGAGTTGGCTGAGCAGTTGGGGCTGTCCACAGGCGAGAAGGAAAAGCTACCTGGAGGTATGGCACCCCTTTATCCCGAGATGGGGTGGCAAGAGGGGTTCGCTGTCTGGCTGTGGGCAGCCTCACCCCCTGCCTGTTGCCTTTCCTGCCCTCAGAGCCGGAGCCGGTGCAGGCTCAGCAGAGCAAGACGGGCAAGTATGTCCCCCCCAGCCTGAGAGACGGAGCCAGCCGCCGCGGGGAGTCCATGCAGCCCAACCGCAGGGGTAAGGCCAGCCTCTTCTCGGTATGGGGGCAGCCTCCTGGCTCCCCTGTGCGTGATACCAGGCTTCTGCAGTGCCGGCTACGGCACACGGCCAGCTCTGGCCGCAGTCCTACCAGTGTCCCTGACCTTCCTCCCAGCCGACGACAACGCCACCATCCGTGTCACCAATCTGTCCGAGGACACGCGTGAGACTGATCTCCAGGAGCTGTTCCGGCCCTTCGGCTCCATCTCCAGGATCTATTTAGCCAAGGACAAGACCACCGGGCAGTCCAAGGTGGGCGTGGAGGGATTTTCCCTTTTAGGGGGGCTGAGGAGGAGACCCCCCTGCTTCCTCTCACCTTTTCCCTTTCCTCCCACCTCAGGGTTTCGCCTTCATCAGCTTCCACCGCCGGGAGGATGCGGCCCGGGCTATTGCCGGAGTCTCCGGATTTGGCTACGACCACCTGATCCTCAACGTGGAATGGGCCAAGTAAATACCGGGGGGGAGTTAAGAGGATGGGGGGGGGATGACACATTCTTTGTCCCTGCTGGGTGCTGGGGGGCCGCACGCCGTCTCCCCTCTCCTCCCCATGCTCTCTCTTTTACTTACCGCGCTCTCTTCTTTTTCCACAGACCCTCCACCAACTGAATGCAGTGCTGCCGGTGCCGCACTGGCTCCAGGCGAGAGCGATCAGCGCTTCTAAATAAAGACGAACATTCTGGTATGCACCAAGGTGTCCATCTGAGCTGCAGGGAGGGTTCACCAGGCAGGGAGCAGCCCCATCCTTGTCCCCACACTGTCCCTGTCCCCACGCAGAGGCTGTCCCTGACTCGTCTCCGCCCCAGGCACACCGTGGGTCTGGCAGCGCCTGCGACGCGGGGAAGGGCACAGCACCGCCGTTCCTCATTTTTTCAGCTCACGTCCAGCTTTTCAGCTAGGAAAGAGGGGGATCTCTGCCAAAAAAAGGTGTGACACGAGGCCGTACTTGTGGTTTTGGCTTTAATCCGGCTTCTCCCATGTTCCTGCCACACTTTCTGCTTGGGAAACGTGTGCCCAAGGGCCACGCCGAGCACCATGCCGGCTGTGCCAGCCACCTTGGGCCACCCCAGGGGGCTCCTAGGCTACCGGCCGCAGCTCCACGTGCTCAGCCCGCTCCTCGACAGCAGTGCCGGTACTGCAGCCGGCGCGGCAGCAGCTCTGCATGCTGTCAGCCAGGGCGGCGTAGAGCAGCGGGTGCAGGCAGATGTTGAGGTTAACGAGGATCTTGCAGACCTGAGCGGTGGTGTGGATGGCTTTGGAGACGGTGCAGTTCTCTGTATCCCGTGGCAGCAGGCGACGCCACAGGTTGAGGTTACGGAAAATATGATAGGGCAGGTAGGAAAAAGCATAAAGAGCCACTCCTGCCCCCACCAGCATTCCCACCTTCCGCTTTTCTGCCTGGCTGAGGTGAGGATTACGGAAAACGGTGCGGATAATGGCGGCGTAGCAGGAGGCGGTGAGGAGGAAGGGCAGCCCGCAGCCCAGCCCGGCCAGCAGCAGGCTGTAGGGATAAAACTCCCGCAACCGCTGTGGCGCTGCGCTCCCCCAACACTCGGTGGCATTCTCCGCTTTTTGCAGCTCCGCAAAAAAAAGGGTGGGTGCTGAGAGTGCCCCAGCCAGCACCCAAACGACAGCGCTCAGCGCTTTGGCATGGTGTGGCTGCAGCCGCCCGTGGACCCGCAGCGGGTAAACGATGCCGAGGTAGCGGTTGAGGCTGATGCAGGTGACGAAGAAGATGCCGCCGTAGAGGTTGCAGTTGAAAAGGAAACGTTCCAGCTTGCACAGCACCGGTCCGTAGCGCCAGTCCTTGGGCGGGTAGTAGTACGCCGCCAAAAAAGGCAGTGAGAGGGAGTAGAGCATGCCGCTGACGGCCAGGTGGAAGGAGTAGACGATGCCGCTGTGCCAGGGGTGCTCGTGCGTGACGAAACGGTAGACGGCCATGCCGTTACCCACCAGCGCCGGAGGGAATTGTGCCACCAGCACGGGCCACAGAGACTCCTGGAAGTTGCTGAAGTTCTTGCAGTGACCGAGGTGCGTGGCCATCTCGGGGGTTCCTCCCGATGTCGTGTTCCGCCACCCCCTTTTTTTTTTTTTTCGGTGGCTGCAGGCAGGGGTGCAGTGTAGGTTGCAGGCAGCGAAGAGGCAGAGCGTGGCCACGAGGCGCAGCTGACACGCGAATGGCCGTGCCGGGACCCCGCCCCCCTGCCGCTCGCCCCACTCTCCTCGTCCTCTTCCGTGTCTGTGCTTTGCCTCCCTTCTCTGGGTGGCAGTCACGGGGCTGCCACAGGGTCACATCCTGCCCTATTTTGGGGACAGTGGGGGCGAGAAGCTGTTGGGGCGGGGGTTGCAGGCAGGGAAAAGGCAGTTCCTCTTTGATGGGCAGTGCTGACAGAGACTTCTGCCCTGGCACGAAGGGGGAAGGAGCTGTGCGTGTCTGCCTTCTTCCAGCCGGGGCAGGGGCTGCCTGCTCTGCCTGACCGCATCGGGGTGACACAGAGAGGGCCATCCTGGGTAGGGGGACACCGTTACAGCCCCGAGGACCCCACTTTATCATAGAACCACACAACAGTTTGGGCTGAAGGGAGCTTAAATCCCCCCCAGTGCCACCCCCTGCCCCGGGCAGGGCCACCTCCCCCCAGCCCAGGTTGCCCCAAGCCCCGTCCAACCTGGCCTTGAACACCTCCAGGGATGGGGCAGCCACAGCTTCTCGGGGCAACCTGCCCCAGGGGCTCACCGCCCTCACGGGGAAGAATTTCTCCCGAGATCTCCCCTAAATCTGCCCTCTGCCGGTGTCAACCCGCTGCCCCTGGTCCCACGGCTCCCCTCCCCGATCCAGAGTCCCTCCCCGGCTCTCCCGGAGCCCCTTCGGGCACTGGAAGGGGCTCTGAGCTCTCCCCTTTTTCGCCTTCTCTTCTCTGAACCCCCCAACTCTCCCAGCAGAGGGGCTCCAGCCCTCCCAGCATCTCCGTGCCCTCCTCTGGCCCCGCTCCACCAGCTCCGTCTCCTTCTGCTGGTGGGACCCCCCGAGCTGGAGGCAGCACTGCAGGGGGGTCTCCCCAGAGCAGAGCAGAGCGCAGCAGAGGGGCACAGTCCCCCCTCGCCCTGCTGGCCACGCTGCCGGGGACGCAGCCCGGGTTGCCGGTGGCTCGCTGGGCTGTGAGTGCACGTTGCCGGCTCACGGCCGGCTTCTCCCCCACCGACACCCCCAAGTCCTTCTCCCCAGAGCTGCTCTCCATCCATCCCTTCATCTCCAGCCTGAATCAATACTGGGGGTTGCCCCACCTCGGTGCAGCACCCTGCACTTGCCCCCGCCCCCCAAAACCCAGCACAACCACAGCCGCTCGTTCCAAGCAGTGTATTGCACAGGAGCAGGAACAGGGAGGGAGGCCCATTTCCTCTTCCCCCCACAGTCTGGGCATGTGGCCGGCAGCTAGTGCCTCAGCGTTTCCCCTTCTTGGCACGTCCAGGCCGACGGAAAATCATCCTGCCCTTCGTCAGCAGCTTCCCTCCTCGCCCCTTCGGCCTCGAGCTGGCACGGCCGGAGCCGGGACCGGTCCCCTCCTGGGCTGGGCGTTCGCTTCCTCGATGCCGCTTTCGGCCGGCCGCCCCCTGCCTGGCTCCGCCACGGTGCTGCGAGTCCCTCGGTGCCGGTTCTCCCTTCCGCCGCTTCCCCGGCGCCGTGGGGCGAGAGTTGGGGGGAGCAGGATGCTCCGGCTGGGTTTGCCGTCGGCGCTTTCGTAGCGGGGCAGCGCCCGAGGAGCTTCGCTTCCTCTTGTTGCGGTCAGGAAACAGATCTTGAGGGAGGATAGACATAAAAAAAAGGGGGGGTTCAGCGAAAAAGGGGCCACAGCGGTACAGCGTTGGGGCAGACGGACGTGTCAGTGCGTTTACTTTGAACCGAGATCACGGAGAGCTCAAGGTTTTTGCATCATCAGCCACTGTCAGTGGGAGGAGGGGACATGGGGGACTCGGTTACCCTCCGGACTCACCTTTGTCCGGCTCCTCGCCCAGCTCCTGCCGGTAATACTCAGCATCGCTCTCCTCTGACTGCTCGGCCGCATCCTGCTGCTCTGGCGCACCGGGATCCTCGGCATCGCTATCACCGTCCTGTTGCCGTTTCCTCCGGATCCCTGCCAGGCTCTTCTCCCTGCGGCGCCACCATCATGTCAACCACTGCTGCTGCTGCCGCCAGACCCCATCGCTGCCAGACCCCGTCCTCACCTGTGAGCCTCACGCTGCCGCCGCTTGCGCTCCACATCCGCCTCCTGCTTCTGCCGCCGCTCTGCTTTCAGCTGCAACTTCGCCTCCTTCCGCGCCAGGATCTCCTTCACCTCCGCCTCCATCTTGTGGACTTCAAGCACACAGGGAAAGGCGTGAGATACCCTGGTCGGAGGCCCCCGTGCCGGCAGCTTACCGGAGACGGTGCTTTGCGGCACTTACTGAAGCTGTGGTAGAGCACGTTGCCCTGCGCCAGGCCCTCCTCCACCTTGATGAGCTGCAGGGTCATGCGGGGTCCGATCTGTGGGAACGGGGAGGATGCGGAGAGCCCCGGTCAGGCTCTATCGCATCCTCAGGGCGATGGCAACCGCAGCGTCACCGCCGTCACGGACCTCGGTGAGGCGCACGGCGCTCTGCTGTGCTTTCATGTTGCCTCGGCCGGCGTATGTCTGTGGCAGCTCCAGGACATTGTGGGTCCCGTCCTGCTCAGCCTCACTCTCTGACAGGTTTATGTCCCTGCCAAGGGACAGGAACGCGTTTCAGGATGGGCTGGAAGGCGCCTCTGGGCCCCTTGTCCCCCTCGGTGCCCTCCACGCACTTCACCAGCAGCTCACTGATGTCTTCCAGGCGGCTCATGTTGGGGAACTTCTCCTGCAGCAGCTTCTTCACGGCTTTGTTCATGCCCACGGGCACAACCTTCACACTACTGCGAAGAGGAGCAGGAGAAAGAGGTCAGTGCTGGGCCACGGGGCGCAGGGTGTCCCCCAAAATCAGGGGCACAACACTCACTAATGCCTGAAATCGAGGAGTTGCGTCTCCGTGTTGTAGCTGATGAGCAAACACCTCTTGATGCTGTTGAGGTTGACCTGTGCAAGGATGAGGAAGAGAGAAGAGAGGGAAGAGGAGAGAGTAGAGGGAAGAGGAGAGAGTAGAGGGAAGAGGAGAGAGAAGAGGAGAGAAAATTAGATTTCAGCTGGAAGGGACCTACAATAATCATGTAGTCCAACTGCCCGACCAATTCAGGGCCCACCAGAAGTTGTTAAGGGCATTGTCCAAAGGCCTCTCCAACACTGCCGGGTTTGGGACATTGACCACCTCTCAAGGAAGCCTGTTCCAGGGTTTGAGCACCCTCTTCGTAAAGAAATGTGTCTCGGTAAAGAATAACATCCAGTCTGAACCTCCCCTGGTGCAGCTTTCAACCACTCCAGGACCCCCAGATCCCTTCCTGCAGAGCTGCTTCTCCCCCAGTTTATACTCCTGCACAGCGTTACTCCATCCTGTGCAGAATCCGGCAGTTGGACTCGTTAAATTAAATTTCATCCCATTAATCAGAGCCCAGCAATTGAATCTATCCAGATCCCTCAGCAAGGCGTCGGCAAAAGAGTCAACAGCACCTCCTGCTTTGGCATTCAGATCGCTGATAAATATATTGAACAGAATTGAACCCTGAGGGATGTAGGAGGGGGTGGGACGGGCGCCGAGCCCCGGTCCCGCAGTGTGGGGACACCCCCTGCCACCTCTCTTACCCTGTGGACGTTGATGGAAGGGAACATGTTCTGGAACATGCTGGCCATTAGCTTGACCTGGATCTGCTGGAGACCGAAATTGCTGAGGACCAGCAGCGGGTGGTGGGTGAACTGCTGCTCGTGCATGCGGTGCCGCTTGAGGGACGAGACCACGTCCTTGATCAGCGAGTACTGCAGGAGAGAGAGGAAGGACACACACGGGAGGATGAGGAGGGGGCGAGACACTGCCCCTCATGCCTGCGGGGAAGGGGGGACTCCCGCAAGCACCCACCTGCATCACCTTGAACGTCAGTGTTGGGCCGCCAGGCAGACGAAAAAGCTTCTGTGTGTGTGGGGGAGAGAAACAGTACTCAGCACCGGAGGAAACCGCCAGCACCGGGACCGACTTCCCCCCAGCGCAGACGCGTCAGTGCGTTTACTTTGAAGAGAATCACAGCGTGAACTCAGCAGGATTTTGTCATCATCTGCATCTGCAAACCTCCCCACCCGCCACCCCAAAAAGGTGTCGGCCCCCCGAGGGGGAGCACA